TTGAAAATGAGACATGTAGATCCACGTCTTCGTATAGCCCCCATATAACGGTACCTCCCGATATGCGGTATTTTTATGATTTTAGCGACATTATTTACCGGAATTGTTTCAAATTTGGAATTTGAAGTTCGTAATGGATACTACATCCCAAGACAGAAAATGAGCCATGTAGGTCTACGTCTTCGTATAGCCCCAATATAACGGTACCTACAGATATTCGGTATTTTGATGATTTTAGCGACATTATTTACCGGAATTGTTTCAAATTTCGAATTTAAAGTTCATAATGGATGCTACAGCCTATGCCAGAAAATTGTCTGTGCAGGTCAGGTATAACCCCCATGGTACCACCTTATATTCGGTATTTTTATGATTTTAGCTACATTATAAACAGATTTTTTCAAGTCTCGCATTTGAATATTGTAAAAGCTTGTGACAAAAATTGCCTATGCAGGTCCACGTCGTCGTATAGACCCTACATTCGATATTTTTAAGATTTTAACAGAACTTTTAACGGATTTCCTTTTTTTTTTAAATTGTCAAATTTGTGCCAAATGGTGGAGGGTATTCAAAGTTCGGCCCGGCTGAACTTACAGGTTTTTTACTTGTTTAATAACAAAAATGTATCGCATTTTTCAAGACATGTACCAGAATATACACATTTATTTTGTTCAGAGACTCACAATTTAATTTGATTTAGAATAATTCTTCCTTTGACACTATCCCAAAAAAATGAAGTAAAATTGAAGATTTAGACTCGGATTGGAAACGTGTACAATTAACAATAAAAAAGCTTACACATTATTTTTGCTAGTAGTACATAGATTTCGAAGTTAATTTTCTTAAAAACTATTTCCGCTAGATGTATGGTCTATTCTGAGATTTATAGTGAAATTTTCTTTAGAATATTTAACACTTTCTGCCCAAAATGAAATTTTATGTTACTTTCAGGTGTAAATTCGAAAAAAATGCAAGGAAAAATTTATAAAAGAAAAATTGGGAAATATTTACAGTTTCTTTTGGGAACTTTGAACATTGATTTTTTTGATATGAAGTGGAAATGGACATTTCTTTTCTATGATAACTTATAGTAGAATTTGGTGAAGAATACTTTTGTCTTTGACTTCATCTATCAAAAATGATATTTTGTGAGAGAATTTTACATAAATTCATATGAGGTATGTTGAATTAACAGCAAAAAAAGTAAAGACACAACACTTATGCAAGTAATACAAATTGATGATACTTTTTTCATGGTATATATTGAATATACAAATTTCTTTTTTTTCAGGGACTCACAATGAAATTTGATTTAGAATATTTCTTCCTTTGAAACTTTCTCCAAAAAATAAAATATAAAGGGAGATTTTGACTCGGAATGGAAACGTGTTTAATTAACATTAACAAATCGTACACATAGTCTTCACTTGCAGTACATACATTTCGAACGTAATTTTCTTACAAACTATTATACGCAGATATATGGTTTATTCTGAGATTTATAGTGAAATTATGTGTAGAATATTTCTTCTTTTGACACCTACTGCCTAAAACGAAATATTATGTTACTTTCAGACGTCAAATCGAAAAAAGGCCGAGGAAAAACTAATCAAAAAAATGAGGGAATATTTTGGGAACATTGATGCAAACATTTGTCTAATATAATAAGCCTTTGTCTAATATAATGAGCCTAATAAAGTAGGCTCAACATTTTGAATAATAATAATTCTTATAAAATGTAAAACATTAGTTCGATTATCTTCAAATTTCGCCAATCCTAACATTTCAACTAACACAGAATTTGGTGTGAAGATATTATATATTAGACCATTTCTTTTGGTACCTCCCACATAATGGATCAAAATTGTAAATAATTATAACCCTCATAAAATGCGAAATAAGTATTTAATTCTTATAAAGTGTGAAATAAATAAATAAATATGTTATTACAACTCTTTTAAAATGTGTAAATATGGAATATTGGAGACCTCCTTCTGGTACCTCCCCCACAAAGGGTTAATATTTTAGCTACTTATAATCCTTATAACATGCGAAACAAGTCAGCGATTCTGTTATAACAAAGTATAATTTTATGTTTGACTGAACTCGAGATCTGATGGACTTTTTCGACCCTGTCCGTTTGATACCTCCGCCACAAGGGGACAACATTTCAATCAGGTAAAAAAAAAAATTATTCGATGTCCACTCTTTATCCTACCTCATCCATAAAAGTTCAACATTTTCAGAAAAATATGTACAACTATTTTAAAAAAAGTGTAGGAAGTAGTCGATATAGTCCAAACCTGGCACATTACAATATTTATATCAATCTTAGGCCATATTCGAAATTGAAAATGTTGGCCTATTCCTTCGGTACTATCCCAATAAAGGGTAAACGTTTTAAATAATAAAGGGAAAATATTTTTTATTATCACACGTAAGCTGAGGGTATATATTTCTCGACAAGTCGGACTGATACTTTTTAAAACGTGTTTACATTGAAATGTATCTATTTTACCGTACTTAAAATGTTGGACTAGATGGCTAATCCCTGTACTGACGTTGGGATTAAATTTTCCCATTCAGAAACAAAATTTCGTCCTGAAATTAAAAAGGGCTTTATTTTGCTACTACAGATCATTAAAAAACTAATAAATGATAATTTTTGATGACTACATCGGCACCATTTGTTATTTTATGTTTTTTTTTTCAAAAACATTTTATATTTTATGACACATTATAGACATCTCAGCTAAACAATTGTAACTTATTTCCAAAAAAGCAAAGAAAAAAAAATTTTATTGACTTATTTTTTTATGATTAACTTGTCTTAATAAATTGCCAATTATTCTCATAAAAAAGCTGACTTTCAGCTTTAGGAGGTCTAATTTGTTTTGTGTTTTTTTATGATTGTTTATCTCAATAAAATATTAAGCGTTTTCTTTTTGTTGGAATTACTACCAGATATTAATTGGCCATTTTCATTTAAAAAATTGTTGTTTTCATTAATATATACATATATTAAAACCACATGGGTCAAGAATAAAAAAAAACACTTAAATGCTGCAACGATATAAATTCATTGTTAAAGATATTTGTAACAAAAATCTATTTTAAAAAAGAAAGTCTCATCAATTGATAGCAAAACTGGAGATTTACCTTTTTATAGGGGCTTTTTTCGATTTGCCGCTTGAAAGTAATATAAAATTCCGTTTTAGGCCGAAGGTGTCACAAGAAGAAATATTCTACACAACATTTCCCTATAAATCTCAGACTAAATTATATATCTAGGAAGCATAGTTTTTTATAAAAATTACCTTCGAATTTAATGTACTGCAAGTAAATAGTTTGTGTTTGTTTTCTTACTGTTAATTATACACGTATTCATTTCGAGTCAAAATCTCACTTTATTCCTGTTTTTTGGGGAAAGTGTTAAAGGAAGAAATATTCTCCACAAAATTTTACTATATATTTCAGAATAAACCATACATCTAGGTAATATAGTTTTTAAGAAAATTAGCTTCGAAATTTATGTACTACAAGTAAAATTGTTGTGTTTGTTTTCTTACTGTTAATTATACACGTTTTCATTTCGAGTCAAAATCTCCCTTTATTCTTCATTTTTTGGGGAAAGTGTTAAGGGAAGAAATATTCTTCACAAAATTTTACTCTTTATCTCAGACTAAATCATATATCTAGGGAGCATAGTTTTTAAAAAAATTACCTTCGAATTTAATGTACTACAAGTAAATAGTTTGTGTTTGTTTTCTTACTGTTAATTATACACGTTTTCATTTCGAGTCAAAATCACCCGTTATTCTTAATTTTTTGGGGAAGGTGTTAAAGGTAGAAATATTCTCCACAAAATTTTACTATATATTTCAGAATAAATCATATATCTAGGAGGCATAGTTTTTTAAAAAAAATCACCTTCGAAATATATGTACTGCAAGTAAAAGTTTTGTGTGTGTTTCTTACTCTTGGTTATACACGTTTTCATTTCGAGTCAAAATCTTCCTTTATTCTTCATTTTTTGGGGAAAGAGTTATAGGCAGAAATATTCTCCACAAAATTTTACTATAAAGCTCAGACTAAATCATATATCTAGGAAGCATAGTTTTTAAGAAAATTACCTTCGAAATGTATGTACTGGAAGTGAAAATTATATGTGTGTTTTTTTACTGTTAATTATATACGTTTTCATTTCGAGTCAAAATCTCCCTTTATTCTTCATTTTTGGGGAAAGTGTTAAGGGAAGAAATATTCTCCACAAAATTTTACCATATATCTCAGAATATACCATACATCTAGGTAAAATAGGTTTTAAGAAAATTAGCTTCGTAATATGTGTACAGGAAAATTATATGTGTGCTTTTTTACTGTTAATTGCACACGTTTCCAATCCAGGTCAAAATCTCTGTCTATACTTCAAGTTTTGAGCAAAGTGTCAAAGGAAGAATTATTCTAGACCGAATTTTATTGTGAGTCTCTGAATAAAAGAAATTTGTATATTGAATATTTACCATGAAAAATACCAATAACTTTTGTTAATAAAAAAATCATATTTATTAAGAAAATTAGCAGTTTTTTCTAATTTCCTGCAAATCCATAAAACTGTAGGTTTTACATTAAAAATACATATATATATGTACCTACATACATACATATGTATGTACTCTGCTAATCATATTAATCATCAAACCTAGATATGAAAGATATTTAAAATTACATTAAATCATCAGATCATGCAAACACTTAGATAGTCATGGCTATGAATATTAGGAATGAAAAAAAAAAAAATAAAAATAATAAAAATTTATAAATTTTATTGTGTGTGTGTCTAACGAAAATCATAAATATATGTTTGTATGTGTCTGGGTAGTTCTCACCCATGTCGTTATAGGCTACTAAAACATTATTTCGTTGCTCATTTTTACAAAAAAAATATTTTTTATAAATTTATAATAATTTTTTTGTTCTCTTTCTCTCACTTTTTTAAGGGGATGTCGGGGTGTGATCAAAGCACTGTCGAATCATTGGCTGAAGATCCAACAGGTTCACCATTCGAGGTCGATGATTGTCTCAAAGTTCGAAAATACTACTGCTTTCTGCTCTCGAGCATTTTCACATTTCTTGCCGGATTTCTCATCGTCCTACTATGGCGGGCATTTGCATTTATATGCTGTCGCAAGGAACCCGAGCTGGGACCGAACGATCCCAAGCAGAAGGAGCAGAAGGCATCCAGAAACAAACAGGAGTTCGAGGGCACGTTTATGACAGAAGCCAAAGACTGGGCTGGAGAGCTTATATCGGGTCAAACCACAACCGGTCGTATATTGGTAAGTAAAAGAATAACAACAACAACATCATCATCTACTCAAATTAACAACTTTATAACCTCTTGTTGTGTGTGAGCAACCCAACGTAAGCTTTGAAATGGGTTGGCAAACAAAATGTTAATTGTCCTCTTTTTCTCGTCTATGGCGTGGCGTGGCGTGTCTCGTGCCCTGCGGCCATTTGAACAATTAGTTATTTGTGCTCATTGGCCATAGCTAGCATTGCATGCCATTGAGTTAGTTGCCATGAATGAATGGCCGGGCAGGAGGCAGTCTCAATGGCTTCCGTGCACAGCAGTTTGGTTTGTTCGAGAATTATGTCATGGCGCTGGGATACCATCTGGAGGCGAGTGACATCTGTTTTTCACATGTGTGTTCGGGCCAAAGAGTGGTTTGGCCGTCCTCCTCGTCATGTATGTGTGTTTCAACATTACCTTAGCATTACGCCATGGGCGGCTACCCGGCTATGTATTTATTTAAATGTGGGTTAATAGGCACTTTTGAATTATTAACGTACTTCAGGTTGTAGTGTGCCGGGCCTGCAGTTACCTCGAACTAAGAGTTTCATTGAAAAAAGAAGAAGTTTCTTTCTCCATGGGACAAGTGGTTCCACTCAAGTACTACTTTGCACTGCAATGGCTCTTTGTTTTCAATGGTAATTTGATATGGCAATCACTTGAGGGTACCACATCAGTTTAGTCGCAGGTTATTGGTGGATGGAGTGGTGGCAGAGTAGTTTTTGGATTTGTTTTAAGTATTTTTCTCTCTCTCGTTTTCTAATTGCGGTGATTACAAACTAATTTTGTCACTTTAAAGAAACCCGGAAGGGATTTAAAGAGATGTCGCTTAGGGAATGCGGGATTAAATTTGAGGGGAGAAGAGGGAAGAGAGAGAGAGAGAGAGAGAGAGAGAGAGGGAAGCTAGTGTGTCTACAATGAAAAGTACCAATCGTAATCTTCTACATATTGGACAACACATCTAAACATTGTCTAGGGCAGTCGTATACCCGAGCCTCCATTGGCGTTGCTGACCGAAAAAGAGAGGAGAGGGTGAAAACAAAAATTCAATATTTCTACAATAAAAATTTACAAAATTAATTTTTAGACCAAATTCGGCCCCACATTCCAAATTTCATTCATTTAGTTCATGTCCACACAAAAACTAAATTTTTTAGAGGTACCTCCGATTCTGATGCTATATTTCCAGTTCCAAGTGGAATTTCAAAAATTTATGTAGCAATTGTTACTTTCAGGCGTTGCTGTAGTTTATGTGGACATTTTCAGGAAAATCTGTTCAGCAGTTTTTGAGTCTATCAATTACAAACAAACGATCAGACGATCAGATGATCATCTCAAGTTTCTGGATGAGGGAAACATTTATCTCTAACAAGTTGCCAAGAATCTCTGACTTGTTTCGCAAGCTATGACAGATCAAAGTATTGAAAATTGTGACCCTTTGTGGGATTGATTCGCAGATATATACAGGGTGAGATAAAAAAGCTGCAACAAAGTCAAATGCCATAATTTTTATTTATTTTTTTAAATTTTATTGAATGAATGCAAAAATATCGGAAATAGCATTAAATTTTAGAATAAGTTTAGATTTGTTCGGTTTGGTCACCTTTGGCCCAAATTATGGCCTTTAAACGGCCAATGAAACCGTCACACGCTGCCACAATGTTGCTCTGCGGTATTTTGGCCCATTCCCGGCGAAGCGCTTGCTTGAGGTGATCGACATTTTGCTATTTTTTAGTGCCAACCTTGCTTTTCAAAATACTCCAGACACAATTATCCAACGGCTTGGTATCCTGAGATTTTGGTGGCCATTGAGCGTTTGAAATGAAGCGAGGTACATCATTTTGTAACCATTCTTGGGTGTCGTATACTGAGTGCGATGGTGCTGAGTCCTGTTGGAATGTCCAAGGTCTGCGGCCAAAATGTTTGCGTGCCCAAGGCTCTTTTTACACCCTCCAGAATATTTTCGCGATAATATTCGGCATTTATTCTGATGCCACAGTCGATTAATACGAGCGGAGAGCGACCATCGGTTGTTATGGCAGCCCACACCATCACTATGGCCGGCGCTTGAGTTCTGGTGGCCAACCGAAGGTGCACATTTTCAGCTGACCTATTTGGCAAGTAGACACGATAATTTTGTTTCTTTGCAAACAAAGAAAACCAATTTCGGCAGTTCAACACTTTCGGCCAAGCAAAGCAACTCTTTAGCTCCCTTGAGTCTATTTTCTTTCTGTGGCGCTGTAAGTTCTTGCACTTTTTGGAAATTCAATGGCTTTACCCCGTGCTCATTTTTCAATATTTGCCGAATGGAATATTGCTTTAGCATTTTTCGACCACTGCGACGCGGGTTTCGATAGAAGTCGCTTCTTTACATTTCGAACCATTTCTGCTGATGTTGCTGTTTTCTTCCGTCCACTTCCTTGTCAGTACCAGTATCACATTAACTAGCGATGGTAAGAGACAAACGATTTATTCACATTTAAATGCTGGAGGGCTCTAACGATGACCACTTGTGGTTTTCCAGCCAAATATAAAGAAGTCACACTATCCCGCTTGAATTCCCTCACAAATAACTTTTTTTCTGAAAAATTCTCACCAAAATGCTTTTGTACCCTTATAAACAATGTAATAAGCTGTCACTGGAATAATTTTTACAGCTGTCGGACGAGTGGCTTAGAAATGACAACAGCCTGATATTGGTTGCAGTTTTTTCATCTCACCCTGTATTATAGTTTTGGTTATTCAAAACGTTTACCCTTTGTGGGGGAGGTACCAGAAGGAGTGGACCGATATATTCCATCTCCACACCTGATTATGTGTTGATAGAAATATTGGAATGTGTGAAATTTGAGAAAGTATTGGATGCTTATTTCGCAAATTATAAGAGATATAATTATTCAAAATGTTAACCCTTTGTGGAAGAGGTACCAGGACCGATATATTCGATCTTCTCACCAGATCTTGTGTCAGTAGAAATATTGGTATGTGCCAAGTTTTTAAAATAATCGGATACTCATTTCGCGTTTTATGAGCTTCGTAGTTATTGAAAATTTCGACGCACTTGTGGGGGAGGTACCAGAAGGAGTACACCGATATATGCCAACTTCACACCTGATTATATAGAATATATAATTATTGAACCATTTTGACTCCTTTGGATGTACCAGAAGGAGTGGACCGATATATTCCATCTTCTCTCCAGGTCTTGTGTCGGTAGAAATATTCGGATGCGCCAAGTTTAAAAATAACCGGATGCTCATTTCGCGTTTTATGATTTTCGTAGTTATTGAAAATTTCGACCCCCTTGGGAGGGGGGGGGGAGGTACCAGAAGGAGTGGGCCGATAAACCCCATCTTCACGCCTGATTTTGTTTTGATAGAAATATTAGAATGTGTGAAATTTGAAAATTATCGGATGCTTACTTCGCAAATTATAAGAGATATAATTATTCAAAATTTTGACCCTTTGTGAGCGAGGTACTTGATGAAGACCAATACTGTCCATTTTCGCACCTGAAAATAGTACAAATATTAGGATTTGCAAAGTAGGAGCATAATTGGATTATCATTTCTCTTCTTGTGCAGTAAAATATTTTATTGAAAACTTCAACCTTTTGTGTGGGAGTTATCAGAATGTTTTGAAGAAGTGGACCCATATAGCTCATCTCCTTATTTAAGTTTGATAATAATATTAAGATGTACGAAGTTTTGATAAAATCGACACTCCCTTCAAGAGTTATCGTAAGAATCCTGAAATAGATTTGGTTCAAAGAGACCTTGGTTCTGAAACCGTTTTTTCATTGAGGCACATTATTGCCGTATCAAATCATATATACCCTTTCAACCCTCTGGTTGAGGGTATTAAAAAAATTTGAGTTGTCTAAAATATTGCCAAATTTCTCGTATTTCATTAATGACAAAAATCGTCCCTATCTACGTTTCTTGAACCCTATCGTATACCTCATTAATTATTACATAAATGACAACCATTTTTTTTACATATATACGATATGCTCTCTGTCATTTTTTTAATATTCCAACACTTTATAGAGTATCATAAATTCCACCCAAAATATAATACCGAAAAATCAAAAAACCTATTTTTTTTATCACACCATCTTTCATCGATCTCCAATTCAGTAATTTCTTGTAATTTAATTTGCAACGGCATGACATTCAAAATTCCCGATTGAAACAAATTAGAATTTGATGGAAAATAAATATCGATAAAAAAAATGTACACCACCCGTTGGCCTCATAAGCCGCCAGATAAATGCCGGGGCAATATATTACCTCCAAATTATTTCACAAAATATTTTACTAACTCATCATCATCACCACCTGAACTACTACTTACTACTGCCCATGCCATGACGGAGGGGACTCACAAAAATGTCTTCGCAAATCCCAAACTGACATTGAAGAGACGAAAAAGTGTCAGCTGTCTGTGATTGACAAGAAAATACCCCCGCCAGGCAACCACCCAAAGAATATTCGCGATAATAATGACAGTTTCTTCAGCCGTCAAATACCAGAATCATTCAATAAAGTCAGTACAAGTTGTCTATCAAAAACCGGGAAGATAAAAACTCATTGATATACGAGTAGGTATGTTTGTGGTCTTCCGTAGGTAATGTTAGCCGTGCGTCGTCGGCATATCGTATATCGCCTGTACAATAGTCAGTCAGTCAGTCAGTGTGACTAAAGTTTGCTCTGAACATTGTTGTGGTATTTAAAATAAAATTTATGATGTGAAAAGTGTGGGCCATATGATTTGAACGGAGGAAAGGTATTTTTTGTCATTCCTTGTGACATGGCGCCTGACCAAATATTTGATTGTTGACTAGTGGCTATCACGTGCTACTAATGCAAAGTCATCTCCATCAAAAAATTAATTCCGAATTTTTTTGGTATTGTGTGAAAATGTTTTTTATTATTGGGGACTTTTTTAATATATCCTGCTATTCGAAAATAGAATCCGAAATTT